GCCACGAAATGCGTAAACACTGATGGAACTGCTTAGGCACTTGGTGGAAAATATGTTTACATGTACTCAGAACATTTTATCAATGATAAAAGTCTAGTTGATCTATATATTAATATATTACACCTTTTCTATTTCTAGTGTAAACATATTTTCCAGTAGGCACTCAAGCACTCTCACCAGCGTTTACATGTTTCATGGCCTGAACCCATCTACCATTTTACAGGTTTCTTCTTGCAATCTGAAAATATGTAAAAGGTTAGACTTTCTTTCCCTTCATGTTATGGTCCGAACAACAAACACTACACCGCAGCGTTTTCATGAAAAAAAAAAAAAAAAATCTTGGATAAGCTGCAAATCCGTAAGTAGGCACAATGAGTTTTTTGAAGAATAAGGGTTTGTTTTCACCAAATGCTCATTGGTAGGTGCGGTTCCTGCGCTCTACTGAATCGGTCTATACTGTCATACTTTTAATGATTATTTATATAAGAATACCTATATGTGAGGTATATTTTCATATGTAAAATATAAATAAATAAGCGAAAACACCCATGTACCCCATTTCCTTTAACAAACAATCACGCATAAACATATCACACCGAAATAGAACACAATTTCCCTCATCCCAATTTACGCCTTTTTTACAGTCAAAAGAGATGGCACTCAGTGATGAACTCGAGGGAATGATTATTAGTCATCAACGAATTATGGGCAATTTCCTTAAATTCCAAAATTACCTTTGATTGAAAGGTCGGACGCGCACTGCTACCTTAACAGAAGCCATATTCATAGAAATATCACAGCCATGAGATTATTTGACAAGAATTTTAGCAGTTGAGTGTCAAACGTCAGTCACTCCTCTCCATTTTTGTTTACAATGACGAAAGCAATCGTAAACCAGTCATACCGATATCACTTTTGATATATTTCTTGAACTTTGTATTATTTTGAGATGAACCTATAGATAAATCTATATTTTTAGACATTCTCCGTACTAATAGAATTTTCAAAGAGGATTATTAAACTACTTCTGTGCGCTTGCTGAAGAGATCCGATTTTGAAAATCTTTTCTAAACTTGTATCCGAAGTGCCGAAAATATTTAATTTTGAGTAGGTCCTTTGATGGGCCCCCGAAATTATTCAGGTCTGATGAAAAAAATATACGTGGAAAAATAAAAAAATCATTATATTGTCATTCAAATCGAAACGATTATGTCTTTGTAGCTGTGCAAAAAGTATAAAATTGAACAAAAATAACCTACGTTTCTTGGCATTTCATATTGCTGCCTGCATTGACCATTCTGTGGTATATGGTATACTTTGACAATCATATACATTATCTATCTTATCTTTAGCTATGCCTCTGTATATATGTATGTACACATATATTGTAATGACTAGAATAATGTCATATATATATATATATATATATATAATATATATATATATATATATATATATATATATATATATATATATATATATATTATGGCCGAGTGAACATAGTTTCCAGGGAATGTTGCAAATTAAAGACATTAAAACTATTCAAGATTTGGATAACCCTAAAATGGTAAAAGAAGTCTGTCGATCCCTTGGATGTGTGGCTTTTTATGGGAAACACGCCCCTGAATTTGCAAAATCCTAACAAGGAAGGATAATAAATTTATGCGGACATTAGATTGTGATAGAGCATTTATAGAACTGAAAAAATAGATTAGTTAACGCGCCTATCTTAGTTGAAGCAGAAGAGGAAGAACCATTTATCCTTACAACTGACGCAAGTGAGGGGTGCATTGGAAGAGAAATGGCACAGATTCAGCCAGATGGAATGCGGAGTGATAGGATATGGTAGTCATAACTTGAACCTGACAGTACCGATGTCCTGTTACAGACAAGGAAGTACTGGCAGTCATCCTTTCATGCAGGAATTTTAGATATATCTGGGGAAATCGATTTATAAACAGACTATCTACCCTTGGTAAGCATTTTTCACAAGAAAACCAAAAGCCTTCGTATGAGTATATGTATAATAGAGATGCGTGATTATAATTTTGAAATTAAATTTGAAAAAGGAAAATGTGACAGGCCAACTATCGAGACCTGTCTTAGGAATCCAAGTCAAACAGCCGGTTTCTTACAATTGTTCGAGGCCGGACCCCATGAATAGGCCTATTCATCTATACGGACATGCATATACACAGAATAAATGCATATCTGTCCATCTATCTGATAGATATACATTTATCTATCTTCTATCTGGTAGATATGCTTGTCTAGACTGATATACATTTACCTCTGTGTATATACATGTCCGTGCGATAGGTGTCTCAAAGGATGACTTCAAATACCAGAGAAAGCAGCGTAGGTGAAGCAAAGTACTAAAAATGAAGAAAAGTTTAGAACACTTTTTACAATTTTCAACTAGAAAATGGCCTATTTTATCATACAGTTGTAAAGAAAGATAAGAGAATGAATTTTAACAAAATAGTACCAAATGAGTTAAGGCTTTAAACTTACTAAAAAAATAAATATAATTGAAAAAAAAATTTCTGGGAGAACCTAAGAGTAGATGCCAAGAATTTTGTTAAGCAATGTAGTGTTGTGCATTGATAAAGGGAAAACGGGTATCAAGACAAAGTTCCAAGAATTTCCAACAGTCATAAAGCCACTCGATAGGATATCTATAGATACAACAGACATGATTGCTGGTGAGGGAGTAAATAGGTATGTGTTGATAATAATTGATGATTATTCTCGCTTTGTTGAATTGTATGGATTGAAAAGGAAAATGCCTCGCGTGTCTGTAAGAAAATGATATATTTCTTTGATGAGTCTGGCAGTCCAGAAATAATGCTGTCTGGGTTAGAATTTAAAAACAAAAATGTTGAACTTATATGCCATGTATGGAATAATTATAAAATCATTACCCCCTACAATCCAAAAGGAAATGGAGTTGTAGAACGAGTATATGAACCTATCAAGTAGGTGATGTGGGTCCTCGAACACACCTAAAAGTGTTTAAACAGAGCCACATAAGGAACCAATGGTGTAAGCCCGTAGTAGACGATGTCCAGGAGAGCACCACCCCATTTAGCAGGCTGTAGTCGCTTACTAGAGATTGAGCCAGAAAATGATTTGTTAAAGAAACGACGGAAAGTAGATAGAAAGACTATCTAGCTCATAAAAATACTAGGACACCACATTGTAAAACTAGAATGGGGGCATTTGTGTTTGTCAAGAAAGAAATGCTTAGAAGTGGCATCAGTCGAAAGCTGGAAACAAAATGGTGAGGACCATATGAAGTGGTAAGAGATGCGGGTTCTTATAGACAGAAACGCCCACTTAGCGGGCAAATCATCAGTAGACTCGCAGACAAAAACAAACCTGTTCGTTACGATGTTTTTTCATTGGCGACTGTATTCGCAATGATTATTTGAGTGATGATTAAATGAGTACATAAGATCCAGGTGGAACTAACAATGATGATAGAGTCCCAGAGGTAAGTTGTGATAGTGACACTGATTTAAATGAAGGGAAGAAACAGACCCCGAAGAGATAAAAAGGCGCCAGACCGCTTTGACTGTTAAGGAGAACGGTTCTTTGAGGAGCAAGGTGTAAATGGCTGACGACGGGCTAGAAATTCCTGAGATGACAGAGGACAAAGGACATCAGAGAGGCTTGGTCAATGTGAATCGAATTTGATCAGGATCGGGACAATACGCAGACTCACCCTTGCGGAGGAATCAGCACAGGATATGTTCAGTTAGCTGGACCAGCTATCTCCTGAGCCGGGACGACGATATGGTCTGCCAGAAATAGTTGGTCTGGCCGGAAAATTTTCAGTGACGCAGTTATCGGATTGTGGAAGACATACGTCAACTGGGAAGCAGACAGTTGTCCTTCTGCACTCCTGCTTGACCCCAAGGTCGTCATTTACGGGTGAATGTGTGATTAGATCGAAAAACAAAAAAAAGCCAGCAATTAGGTATATTGATAAGCAGATGAACAGTGGGGTCGATGCATCATTAAAGACGCTCCACAGTGGCCGATTTGTATATGATTACCCCCCCCCCCCATCCCACGCTCGTCGCGTGGGAGGCTTAGGAGGCAGGAACTCAGGCCAATACGGGATCACTCCTTTGGTCTCCGTTTGCTGTTTCCATCTTATCCTTTTCACCTCCGTACTAACCAGCAGCGCTCTACGGCCTTTGACATCTAACAGATTCTTTCCTAATTGTTAACCCATTTTTACCCTCTTTGCCACAATCATTTATCGTAATGCTGTGTGACCTTTCCTTTCCCCAAGCCTCGCCCTGTTGCTCTATTTTGTATACGTCGCTAATGCTAATGCGGCAGGCTATTTTGAATAGATAAATAATGTGTATGATTGGATCGAACAAACAGAAGCCCACTAGATGTACTGATATGCAGATGAACAGTGTTGGTATGGCAGGGAAGAGGCTTCTAAGTGACTGATTTCTAAACGCTTAGATCTAATTTCAATGAGTAGATCGATAAATTAGAAAGCCAATAAGTACATATACCGATAAGCGGATGACCTGAGGGTGGATGCAACAGGAAAGAGGCGACACAGTGGCTCAATTCTAAATGCTTAAATGCAGCTTTTATGATTTGAGAAAAAAAACAAACAGAGGCGGGAAGTAGATATATTGAAAAGCAGATGAACAGAAGGAGGATGTTGCATACTGCAATCCCGTTTGTTGTCGTCGTAGGGGGGGGGGGGTGCTTAGGAGCTCTCGCCTCAACTAATTTTGTATGGTCCTTTCTTTACCCCTTTTCCTTTTCCCTCTCTTCATCCCTCTCTTCTGTCCGCATCCCAGAGCGTAAGAACCTTGCTGAAAGGATGAAAGACTGGCCTGTAAGTCTTGAACGGCATTCGTCCTCCGTTTGCTGTCTCCTCTTTACCCTTTTCACGGCCATACTAACCAACAGCGCTCTACGACCTTTAACATCTAATATATTTAATCCCAATTCTTAACTGATTTTTAATCTTTTTGCCTCTATACTTTATCATAATGCTTGGGGGCATCGTCTCCAAAGCCTCGTCCTATTGGTGTATTTTGTAAATGCTGCAGATGACCTTTGATATTGATGCAGCAGAAAAAAAAAAAAAATACATCAAATAGATTATTGATAAGCAGATGAACAGAGATTGGAAGCTGCGAGAAAAGAGGCTCTGCAGTGGTCGATTTCTCCATTCTTAGACATAATCTGTATGATTAGAAAAAAGAACAGAAACCAGTAAATATATGTATTGATAAATAAAGAGTCCATAGTGGCAGGCTTTTTTCCTGCTTAGATCTAATTTGTGTGCTGTGTGGTGCAGTGTTCCTGACCTGCTATCAAATCCCACGCCAGCAGTATATGTAACCCCCTCAGCCATTCCTTGCAGAAATGGGGTAATTTAGAAGAAAAATAAACATACAGCATGTCACAGCAAAGTATAACCATTGTAACAACCGGAATTTAACTAAATTATAATTATTGCTGTTTGATTAGATTGTAAAAATCAAAATAAAAAGATACTGATGGGCAGATGAGCAGAGAGTGGAGGCAGCACGGAAGAGGCTCCGCAGTGGCCGATTTCCGCGCCCAAAATCTAATATGCAGAATGAGATCTCGGGAGGTTGTGGTAGTGAGAAGAGTCACTTCCTCTCCCCACGCTTTTCGACTAGATTTCTCTCTCTCTCTACTTCGTAATTTGGATATTGAAGATTTTTTCCTGGTGAATGCCATGAAGAAATTGACTTCTCTTATCTTTCTGATGTTTAAGAGGACATAACTCAAACCGTAAACGAACTTTTCCCTATCTTTAGAATAGCTAAGAGCCACCATATTATACTTACGATATCATTCCATATTATACTTACGATATCATTTATCTCCCAAATCCTGGTATTACATACATGNCTCTCTCTCTCCTCTCCCTCTTCTCTCCTCTCTCCCTCTCTTCTCTCTCTCTCTCTCTCCCTCTCCCCCCCCTCTCTCTCTTCTCATTCGAAAATAACAAACCTACAAAGTGCCAAATAAATCATCTAAAAAAAAAGAAAAAAAAAAAAAAAAAAAAACAAGCAATGAGAACATTCTAAACATGTTCATCTCGTGTTTGCAACGTTGAGCGATTGTTTTGAGTTTGCGAGTGACGAAGCGAGGAAATGGGAGGATTATCAAGTTAACAAAGACAATAAACTGAAGGGAAATTTATGTCAGTACTAGGGTGACATGACACTTTCAGGTTGCCATTGTTGAAAATGTCATGTCATTAATTGGGTGTATTTTCGTGTTTATTTGTTATTTGTACTTCTTTTTTTGGATTGTTTATTCGCTTATTTGTTTACCTGTGTATTCGCTCGCATTTATTCGTTTGTTTATTAATCATGAAATAGCTTAAGATTTTTTTTTCTTTTCATTTCCAATTGTTTATTTGTTTATTTATGTATTTATTTACTTTCATCTGTTTGTTCATTCTTCTATATGATTATTCATTTATTCATTTATTTATTTATACAATAAACCAGCGCACTAAGGACGATTACGTGATGTAGAATATATAACAAGATTAGATTAAATACAAAGATTTTGGTAGATGGAGATAAAATTCGTTCATTATTATTTTCACTTTGCGACGCAATATCAATTATCTTGTCATTGTTGTTATCAAAATTATCTTATTTAGAATTGTTGATGTTCATCTCTTCTACGAGTTTCAACATCAGAAAAGAAAAACCGTGAATTCGTATTTGAAATTACCCATTATGTGTTTTTTGGAAAATACATTGGAATAAATAAAATGCGTTTTTAGAAAATATGTTCATTTATCGTATACCTTAACATAAAAACTATTATATATCCGACCAATCCTAAAATATTTCTAAAGTACTATAAAAATATTCTAGAATATCAGTTTCATAAGAGTAAGTTACGCTTGTACTGCGTAATTTTTACTTATCATGTTATGCTACAGAAAATACTGTGAGTTTAGAATCTTATGAAAGATAAATCAGTAATCTTTTTAACAATAAATCAGTCATCAGTAATCAAAGTTTTTGCATGACGCAAGTATGTTTTTCACAATTCAAATCACATCTTTCCTGGACTGGGAACGCGCACCTCGTTAAGGGGAACGATAAGGGTGGCGTTGGTGTTAATTTCCGTGTTGGAGGTGGCGGCGGCTATGGTTGTTTCAGTAATGATATCAGTGGTGGCGGGAACCGTCGTGGGGACTGTGGTGAGCGGGTGGGAGATGCTGATGGCTATGGTGGATTGTGGTTGGGATAACGAATGTTTGACACAGAAATCATAACAGAAATACAAAGGGCTCAAGAACACATGGTAATCTGAATTTTGAGAAGCACTGGTAAATGTCTTTTACTGAGGGCCATTAGACTGGAGCGTTCCGTTTTCTCGAAAAGCCCGGTCATACATTTCCTGCATAGTTCGTTGATGTTGCTGAAGTTGCAGAGATATCTGTGTCGTGTGAGT